GTATGCGCTTCGTGTTCTGTGTGCCTTGTATCTATCTTATTAATTGGAGTTTATATAGTTTTCTTTCCACAGATCATGGGAACAAGGCCGAGAAATGATCTTCACATGAACATTCCAGCCTTACGCAAGCTCGACTATATGCTCCTTGTTAGAGCAGATTTTCCCTTTGCTTTCATTATTATTTTTTTTTTCTATTAGTATTCTGTTGCGTGACACTCATTTTTGTTTTTGTTCTTATGCAAATTGGAGACAGGAATGTCTAGACAACTTTAAAGACCAAAACGAATTCTACTACGCGTCAAAAGATGATGAGGACTCTAAGGATGGAAAGAACCAAAGAAAAGACAAGTGGTGGATTCCAGTCCCAAAAGTCCCGCCAAATGGCATTTCAGAGGCTACGAGAAAATGGTTGCAATATCAAAAGGATTCGGTCACCCAAATACTAAAAGCAGCTATGGCTATAAATGCTCAGGTCCTTGCAGAAATGGAAATTCCAGAAAACTACATCGAGGCACTACCTAAGGTATGAAGTGACCAGAAAAGTATTTTTTTCTTTTTTTCTGGACAAATGTAGTCATAAAATGCATATGATTTGAAATAAGCATTTGGTTAGATTGCTTTATCTTTTACTTCCTAATATATTTTGGTGCCCGGAGAAAGAACGCTGGTTGAAGTTAGGTTAAAGTGTCTCGGGCCATTTTTAATCCATTTCTTTTATTTTTTTCCATTCACTTTCTCTTCATGGGGCAACTTAATGTGCATCAAAACTGAATTTTTCTAATATGTACATCTCACGTGAGAATGCCGAGCATTTCAGTAAATTGCCAGATTAAATTGCGTTTTTCGAGTTCGAACAAGACTGTTCTTCGACAGTCCATACACGACTAGTTTTGTATATTTTCCACGAGTTTGGAGTGTCGGTCACATAATATTTATATGCTTTCTTTTTACATACACAATATACATCGATAGAACGGGAGATCAAGTCTGGGGGACTCTATATACAAGAGCATCACGGATGATTTCTTTGATCCAGACTACGTGCTCTCCACCCTAGACCTGTCCACGGAGCATAAAATACTCGACCTCAAGAATAGGATAGAGGCATCGGCAGTGATCTGGAAGAGGAAAATGAACGCTAAGGATAGCAAGTCAACTTGGAGCTCGGGCATGAAATCCGAGAAAAGAGAACTGTTCGAAGAGAGGGCCGAGACATTTTTGCTTATCCTGAAGCATCGTTTTCCTGGGCTTCCCCAATCTGAACTGGACATCACCAAAATACAGTATAACAAGGTAAGACTGTTTTTATTTTTATCTTTTTTTCTTATTATCTATATCTTATATTTGCTTCACTGTGAATAGAACACGAGCAAGCTAATAAATGTTGAATCGATCAAAATAAGTGAGAGTTCTCGAATGAAAAATTATATGAAAAGCAGAAATAAGAGCAAAGATCTTGTAAGCTTTAAAACTCGATTTTATTTTGCTATAAGTTGAAAATTGCTTTGCGCTTTCTGATTTTACGTCGAGTTCCCTTTCTGTCTCTCACAGGATGTGGGCCATGCCATCCTCGAAAGCTACTCCAGGATCATTGAGAGCCTGGCATTCACAGTCCTCTCAAGAATAGAAGATGTCATGCAAGCCGACAAGCTCGCGGCCTCCGAGCAGAAGAAAACGCCCCCAAAAGACGAGCCCGATAGGCT